CGTAGTATATATTTTATATAAAACTGCGGTAAAGCCAGTTTTGAAAGTCAGCCGCCACCTTGGTTAAGAAGTCAAAAGTACGCCTCGTTTTCAAATTATAAACTGTTGCCGTAATTATAAGTTTTACAATATAAGAATGAATAAAATACGTATAGTCAGAATTACAATTTTATTAACGTTACAACAAGAACGCGGATACTCGCAGAAGATCATAAGATCTTGTCATCGAGAACCGCCTAAACAGTTTTTAAATAATAAATAATCCTTTAATAATTCATAGACAAATATTCACACATAAATACAAATATAATTATTTATACATATTTAAACATACAAACATGTAAATAAATATACTTACACATCAATATATATATATACACATACATATAATACGCACAAATACACATACATATATACGTACATACATAAATATACATACACACATACATATATATATATATACATATATCCATATATACATATATACATATATATATATATACATACATACATACATATACACATATATACATACACATATACACACACACACACATATACATATACATACATATATATATATATAAGTTAAGATAAAAGATTTCGTATATATAAATTACAATAAAATATTTCTTAAGAGTATTAATAAAAAACAAAACAAACTTAAAAATATATCAGAATGTTTTCAACTGAGAAAAGAATTTCTTTTAATTTTCTTTTAAATAAGAAAAAGTTCCATTCAAGAGAGAGATCAAAAAGTTTTAACACTATTTTGTTCCATAAAAATGCTCCTCTAAATGAAATACAAAATTTACCAAAATTAATTTTGAAAACTGGTTGAAGAATAAAATTTTCATTACGCAAATTTTATTTATTTTTAACTTTTAAAGAATATAAATTGTGAAAAGAAATTGGAGATGTGCGAGACTTACATTTAAACATTAAAAATATTAAGTTGATATATATTAAGAATATTCATTTCGTTTAAAAGAGGCTTAGCATGATAAAATCGATGTTTAAAATTAATAAGTCGTGCAACATGTTTCTGTTGGCGATAAAGTGGTTCTAATTTAGTTTTTCTTACACTACCCCAAGCCGCATTAGCATAGTTTAGATGGCAATGAATAAAAGAGTGGTAAAGCTGAATTAAAGTATGTTTATTTAGCATGGTTCTTATTTTAAATAGTATTCCTATACTTTTGGAAATTTTAGAGAATAAGTTTTCAATATGTTTTTTCCATGTCAGATTTTCATCAATAAAAACCCCTAAAAAATTTGTAGCCGTTACTCTTTTAATTTGAATGTCATCTATAAAAAGAGCAGGTATATAGTATACATTATAATACTTTCAAGCATTTCCAGGTATTTTTTTTAAAAAAAAAACAGATAAGCTAAGATTTTGACTTCAATGATGCGTTAAAAGCACTTTCCACTTCTTGCCCGTTCTTCTTGCCACTTCTTGCCCGTTTTTGCTCTTATTTATATTTTGGTATTTTTAAGCGTACAATAGGAATGGATCAGGGGTGTTGTTGTATCTGCATTGTTTTTTATTTTATTTTTTGCTTCTTCCAGTGTTTTGATGAAAACTTATCATTATCAATAAATAAAACATCTTTTTAGTTATTTAATTAAAATAAACCTAAACTTTATATATAGTTATTTTTTAATACCTATACATAAAATTTAGGTTTATTTTAATGAAACAAATTTTCTGAAAATTTATTTAATTAAATTTTCAGAACATTTATTTAATTAAATAAATGTTCTGAAAATTTTTATTTTAAAAAATTTCAGAACATTTACAGCATTAAGGGGATAAACCAACGAAGATCTTTAAATAATTAGACAAGAGAAGCAAAAAGAGCAAGCATCCTTAGCTCAGTGGATAGCGCACAGAGAACCGTGACTCAACGCCACCTCTGGGCAAGTTTTACAACATCGGTAAGGAAGGAGGCGTGAATTTCTTTCAAATGCTCTTCCGCAGTACTCTGTGTAAGGACTTTTTGGGGCACCTACAATAAAAAAATAAATAAAAAAGATAAAAAAAAGTCAGAAGACATACCTAGTATCACAGATTCAGAAACATTTATTTGCGCTGCTTAGATGGAACAAGGTGTTGAAAGAAAAAAAGAATTCTTTAAAAAATTCTAAAAGAAATTAGCGGCTATTCAAAGTGGGAAAAAATAAATAAGATTTATTATTATTAGATTAATTAACATTTTCTAACGTTTTACAGGAAGCAAAGCGAAGGTATTAAGTGCACTGGCCATGTTTGCCAGTGGTCTTTACAGAAGACTATATAAAATTGTTTGAAATTCTTGTAAAATAAAATATCCATGCTACAGTAGCCTGAAAAAAGGCTAATAAAGCAAGGTTCAAAATTTTAAAGATTTTTCGACCATACGGTCACACTATTGTTAATGTATTTAGAAGTGGTACAAAATTTAAAAAAAAAGAAAGAAATTTATTTAATTGTAAATGGAGTTGTGACGGATCACAGCAAAAGTCAATATAAACAGAAAGTTCTGAATAATGCTGATTCTAATGTATATCTCAAAGTTCTTTTGTGCCGCTTCAATTAACTTGTACAAAAGACACAAAATTTTAACTAAATTCAATTCCTTCTTAGCCACTTTATTGTCGCTCTATAAGAATGATATAATCAATGAAGAGATAAAATCTATTTAAAATTTAATTTTTTCGTTGTGTGATGTAATTCTTTATCCCTTCCACCACTTTCAAATTTGACAGTGGGGAAGGGATGGGGAATTCTTTCCAGTTAAACATAATATGATGCTCACTAGGTTGATGCTGAGGTGTGTAACGCAGCCACTCAAACAATATCAACTATGAGATGTAACATTTTTTGTGCAATATCATAAGACTTTATTAATTTGACAATAAATAAAAAAGTCAAACCAACTAAAGTTTGGGTTGCCAATTTTGCATGCCAGGATCCGATTATTTGAAAATTTATCCTATAAATCTATCCTATAAATTCTATCCTATAAATTGTTTACTAGAAATTGGGAAGTAAAATCAGAAAACGAAAAAAACATTGTTAAGTAAAGAAAACTAGACATACAATCGGATTTTAGAAAAAAAAATTTAATTATAGACGTATCCAACCCTGGATTCGATAATGGCAACACTACCCGACAATTTTTGGTTGACCTAAAGTTGGCAGCTGAAATACAAGGTATTGATTATAACCTAATATAATGTCTTAAAGTGATATTGGAAACAATATCAAGCGAAAATGTCCAAAAATTTAGGGATTATACTTAAAAAACTGCGGATTTTTATGTATCCATGGTGTCCAATGGTTCCTACAATTCACAAAATTTATTAGAATTTATTTTTTGGTTAAAAATATTTTTAATCGACTAAATCGGTTAAATACTCCACAGTGCGACGTATAGTATTAATCTTCTTTGATTCCTCTTTTTTGATCTGTATGGCGTTTTTTTTATAAATGCAACCTCAGAATTTTATAAGTTTTTTTAAATGTAATATATAAAATAAATTTAAAATGTTGTTATAACCAAAAACTTATAAAATCAATCCCTAGCCCTCTCCCCCTCCCACACACACACACACACGTACACACTCACTTTTTTTTTACGCATTTAATTTAATTAATAGATTTTTTAAATATAAATTATATTAACACAGTAATTACCATTGTTATAATCAAAACAGGGCCTTGAAAAAAATTGTCCAAGTGCCATTAAACTTATAATCTAGACATAGTTCTATATTACGTATTAAATTGTTTGAACCTTGAATGATACGCGTATGCTACCTTTTAAATTATGAAATATTAAATGTGTGTGGGCAAATTCTTTAAAAAAAAAACTTGAGTTGAATTTTTTCTATAAAATATAAAAAAAATATAATAAAATGTAAAAATGTAATAAAATATAAAAAAAAACTTTAATTGAGTTTTGTCATTTTTTTACATAATTTTTTTTTTTAATAATATTAAAAAAATGATAAGTTTTAATTTAATTATTAAATGTTTTTGTTTTTATATCTACATTTAAATGTTATTTCTGTTTTTTTTATTTAATTTGCTTGTTTTAAAAGAGTATTTGTTCCAATTTATTTCTTACAAATATAGTATACTTATAAATACTTGTATATAGTGTACTTTTTCTAAGAACCTTATTGGAGATGCAGTTTTTAGAATAGACCAATTTAATTCGAATAGTATTTTTTTTAGACCCGATATAAATTTTGACTTTACAACAATTTTTATCTTTAAGAAAATGTCGTTAACTAAACATTTTTTCCATTCGTCTTTGGTTAAGACAATATGTTTATTAAGGTTATTTAGTAAGCATACAAAAAATGTAATTACATTTGCAATTGTAAATTAAATTTTTCATAATTTTTATAAGAGTTATAACAGGAGAGTTTATTTTTTGGGTACTTGGGTAACATAATGCCCGTTGCACTAACCTCATAGTTTGAGTTTTTTTACTAGACTTTTTCAAAGATTTTCAAAACATTAGTACTTCAGTAGCCTTTCCTGCGTGAAAACATTGAGTACTTCAGTAGCCTTTCCTGCGTGAAAACATTGAGTACTTCAGTAGCCTTTCCTGCGTGAAAACATTGAGTACTTCAGTAGCCTTTCCTGCGTGAAAACATTGAGCACTTCAGTAGCCTTTTCTGCGTGAAAACATTGAGTACTTCAGTAGCCTTTCCTGCGTGAAAACATTGAGTACTTCAGTAGCCTTTCCTGCGTGAAAACATTGAGTACTTCAGTAGCCTTTCCTGCGTGAAAACATTGAGTACTTCGCCTTTCCTGCGTGAATAAGCCAAAGTAAATATGACTAGTCTGTTTTTATTTAGAATTAAAACATTAAATAAACGATTAAATCTAATCTCTTTTTTTAATAATAATAAAAAAACAAAAAACGGAAGTTCCCTAGAAGTTTGTTGTAAGGTTTTACTCAATAAATTGAAAATAAATTTCCATACGGTTTATGTGTTGATATTTTTAAACTTGTTTAAATTTTTTAGAAGATGATTATTTTCAATTCGGGGGGACTTTACACTAAATTGCTTTGCTTTATATTATGCGTTAGTAATTTTTGCATCAAATATTTAAAATTTTTGTCTCTAATACTCATTAAACTCATAAAGCTTGTAAGTGTTTTAAATTTATTAGTTTATATATATATATAGTTTATATATATATTATATATACTATATATATATATATATATATATATATATATATATATATATATATATATATATATATATATATATATATATATATATATATATATATATATATATATATATATATATATATATATATATATATATATATATATATATATATATATATATATATATATATATATATGTATTATTATTATTATTGTTATTATTGTTATTATTATTTTAACAGATTATTCAATGTAAAGAGTATTATTTTTATTTGAAGTTAAAAATCAGAATATGCTAAGAATTTATTTGGTTAACATTCGGTTATAATATATTTAACTTAACAAACATTGTTTCAGAATGTGCAAAATATATTGTCATATTGCAATTTCATACAATATAATTCTTATTGTATGTGTTTGTTAAAGAGTTTTAATTTTGTTTTGGTTGATCCTGCGCTAAACAATGTTTGCGTAATTAATCAGGGTAAAATATAAGACTTTTAAATAATCACGATTTATAAAAGATTTTGTTTTGTAAAGCAGCTCAGTTCTTTGTATAGCTTTTTTGTAAAAAAACTTAACTTCAAACTAAGCTGCTTTTTTCTTAAATAAATAAAATTATTTTTATATTGATAAATATCCACAAATATTAGTGTTGTTATTGACTTCTACTTAACCGACTAAAAGTCGACTAGTCGACTAAATTAATCGACATTGAAAAATGAAATAGTCGAATCAATCGACAATGAATTTCCTACTAATGAATTAAAAGTCGATATGGTCGAATAATAATCTTTATATCCTTATACTTTTTTTTCAATTTAATTTTTTGAATCTTAAATTTTCGTGTGTTCATATAATAACTATTTGATTCACTTTAGAAAATATATAAGTCGACTTCGTCGGCAGTTAAATAATTTAAAAACTTGTAACAATACAAACAAATATTCCTCAAAGTTATATTTTTGGTATATATTTTTGATAACAGTTTCTTGAAAACAACATTAGAAACCAGGATATTTTTGTCAGATATTAGCAACCACGGTCCGATATTTATAAAAGTAAAGTATTTAGGAAATACGTTTGATTATAAACCAAAAGTTTTAAATTTGAAAAAAAAAAACAATCCCAAAACATAAAGTACAAATGAATTAACGATTAGGCTAATATAGTATAATATAAAGTAAGAAGCGTGGACCAACGTATATAGATGTCAAGTAAATTCTAAGAGAACTTCAATGAAATTTCTTCTCAAGAGGTCAAAAAAACTAAAACAAAAGCAATCAACAAAAGATAATTCACGGTTGGATAATTTGCTATTAAATACTCAAAAAGGAAACAAAAACTCTAAAAAAAATTCTAAAAATAAAACAATGATAAAAAAAAAAAAAGACATAAAAAATATATTTTTTATGAAATTCTTACCAAAAATGCTGAAAAAAGTTACTACAGTAACCAAATTTAATTATCAAACTTAAAATTAATTAAGATAACGTGATCCGTCATTAATGGCGTAATGAATAGAGAAAAAAAAAAAAACGATGATGGTGATGGTAAAACGATGATAGTGATCAACCCTCAGAGTTAGGGTCGGCATTCGGCAAAGCCGACATAACTGCCTACCTGAAAGTGTTTGAGGTTGGGAAAAAATTGCCGACCTCGTTTCTATTTTTATGGTCAGACCTTTGTATCAAATAATTTAATATATAAGGTGTGTCAATTTTTTTTTTAATTTCAAAAACGGCAAGATTTTGAAGATTTTTATGGAGATTCCGAATCTGCAAAAAAAAAAAAAAAAAAAATTGAAAAAAAATAATGTCTTGCTGGTTGTGGTCAACGGAAAAATAATTATAATCTGACTAATTAACAGGGCAAAGCTATAATTAAAAAAAAAAAACTTTTAAACTTTTGATTAACTCAATAACTGTTATGTTGAATTTACAGAAAATTGATTATTTGGTTCAAAAAGTCACAAAAATAAACACAGAAATAGAGTTTTTGTAAACTTTTACAAAAATCACTTTTTTCATATTTTAGACAAAGACAGTAACGGTAAAGTGTGTTGTTTTTTTCATGTTTTTATCAAATTTTAAAAGTAAGGGGAGTTCATTTATGTGAAGCATGTTATAGGGAGTTTAAAAAAATACATAAAAATAAAATATTACTTGTTGGGGAGAATGCTTATTTTACATCGAAAAAATGGCTAAAATATCAATAACTAAAAAGAAAAATTATAAATTAAATTTTTTTTTTTTCAATTACTTGATAAACTCAATATATAATATGTTGAACTTGAAGAAAATGTCATTTTTGTTAAAAAGTCAAAAATAATTGGGGCTTTTGTAAAGGTTGTTTTTTGAAAAATTAGTCGATTTTTTCATATTTTAGACAGTGAATGTTATCGTAGGGTGCGCTGTGTTTTTTAAAACTAATAATTAGTCAAACAATTTTGTTATAACAAACAGTATATTATATACAAATACATTTTATAATACATATTATATAATACTAATACCTTTATTAAAATGTGCATATAGTTAAACAATTAAAAAAAACAATTAATAGTTAATAAACTTTATTTATTATTTGTGAGTCCAACTATATTTAGTATTATTTGTGCTCATAAAACCACTAATGATTTCTTGTGCTCTTATATCGCTACTGATTTGGCAACAACACGTAACTGACAATCAATACATTTTTCAGGAGCAACTAAAAACTAATTTATTTCTGTTTAAGACATTATTAGGTAATATTTTTAATTCATATAGTTTTACTTTCAGATGCTATTCTATTATATAACAAATTTTATTAATTTTTGTGGTTATTCATTTTTTACCAAAAACCATTTGATACCAAAACGTCTATTTTGAAAAAAATGTCAGATACGAGTTATTGCCAAATCAGTAGCGATATACTCTCTCGCTTTTCATGGATATATGTTTTTGCACAACGAATTCAATTGGAATAAAATATATCAAGGTTAATTAATGCAAACATGCAAAAAAAAAACTTTGAAAAAGTAACTTTAGGTGAGCTACTTATTGTTTTGCCAAACAAAATAATTAATTATCTTTTTGCTGATCAAATAAAATACTTAATAATCTTTTTGCTGATCAGGCATACGAATACAGAATTGTAACAGCGATAAGATCTGGAATATTAACTGAAAATTTAATAAACCTTAAAATAGGGCCTGTTTCTCATTCCATGATAAGTTAATGATAAACTTTTACCGTTTTTTATGTATGTATTAAGATATTTGGACAATAAATTTTGATTTAAGACTAGCTTTAAACATCCCATGTTTACCATAGCTTTTGCTACATCATAATTAACTTTTGGATGAATAATAAACAATGCGTTGATTCAAAAGTGAAACAGAGAAGATTCGTAGAGAGTGAAACAGAGAAGATTCGTAGCTCCTGCATTCGTTTCCTTCATTTTAAAGCAATTCAAAGCCATGTGTCTTGGTCACATTTAAAACACCAAAAGGCTTTTTTTAAAAGACAAGTTTATCAGATGTAAATAGTTATACGCAACGAGGTTACTTCATTTTGCAGCCGACACACTAACGGAACCTTTATAGCATAATATCGAAACGCACCAGCAACAGCATCTCTGTCATTCATGTTTATACAGTTTAAAGTAGCTATTACTCTAGGTAAAATAAAATTGAACCAGCAAGGCTCAAAATCTCTCTGATAAACCAGTATAAACATCCGAAGAGAATATTAAACATTAGTACTGACAGACTAAACATTACGAAACACAGAACAACTCTTAAGCCCGTTCTCCATTCAGAACTTTTTGCGCTTTAGAGAAGCGGAAAAGTTCTTTGAGCATGCGCAAACAGTTTTTTTAAACCCGTTCTCCAATCAGAACTTTTTGCGCATGATCAAAGAACTTTTCCGCTCCTCCAAAGCGCAAAAAGTTCTGAATGGAGAACGGGCTTAATACAAACGGCGCTTTGCATTTCGCGGAAAAAAATCTGTATTTTTGAAATTCCACGAAATGCTGTTTAATTATTTTTTCCTAAACATCGAGCAATAACAACATAAGTAAACTTAAAAATATGAAAATCACATTGAAGAAATGACTTTTAACTTAATAAATAATGGTTTATAAAATATTTAAAATATTACAGATATTACAAATATTAAAAATAGTACAGTTTCATCTGTCATTCAAGTCACTGTAAAAAACGATGTGAATCTTAAAGTTTATATTCATACTGAAGTTTCGATGTTCCTATAATGGTTTTAGTAGCGATGAAGAAGATTAAACGAAGTATTTTTTTTCTATGATGAAAACATTATTACCTTTATTTTTGAGTACAAACTATTCAACTCGTAGACATATTGATGTATAAAAGAATTAGTTCATTGAAAAGGTGTTTTACAATCATCTCCATGTCCTTGGTTTTATTCATAATATATACTCTAGCAAAACAGTTAGAAAAATATGCAAAATTAATATTGTAATTTAATGTCTATCATAAATAAATTTTGTTGAAAAGATGTTGAAAGTTGTAACAACTAAAAAAGTTTTGTATTGTTCGTTAAAACACTGAAATGTTATAATTGGTTTAAAATAAATAGTATTTTGCAATTTTGAATGTTATTTTGACCCTAAAATAACAGTACCAAGTATGTTGCATTAAGCTCTTTTAAGTGTTTATAGTTTGCTAATCAACAGTTGTTTCAATAGTTAACTTGAATATTTATTTAGAATAGTGCTTTTTTTATAAGTATAAGTGTATATATTATTAAGATATAGATGTAAAAATTCTAGATATTATAAAAAAACCATAAGAAAAGTTGTACTAAAACTATATATCTAAAACTATATTAAAAATTAAAATATTTTTTACATATATTTTTACATGATAAAATGTGATACTTTGAATTTAGGTTTATTTTAATGGCAAATAATGTCGAAAACCCAATCACTCAGATTTCACCATTTAATGACAAAAATAAAGCAGAACTCACAAGCATGTATGATGCAAATAAACCAATTCAACTTTTAAAAATCAAAAATGGTTTTGAAACTCAAAAGAACAACTCAATGAATAGTTTTTTACTCCATCAAGCTGCAATAGAGGGTTTAATTGATCAAGTTAAGTTGCTTATTAAAAAGAGTTATTATAACATTGAAGAGATTGATCGCATAAACTTGCAAGGTTGCACTCCATTGCATTTAGCATCTCGATTTAATAGGTTAAAAGTTGTTGAATATTTATTAGAAAATGGATCACAGATAAACAAAACTACTGAAGAAGAAAATAATACTCCACTTCTCCTTGCTGCAAAGTATTTACTTTTGAATTTAATTATGTTCTTCATTTTTAATTGTTTACAATTTTTTACTTTAAACTTTAGTTATTTATCATGGTTTGTATTTTAATGATATTTTAATAAAATTATTAGTATAAAATATGATTCAAGCCAAAATTTTCAGTAAATATAACACAATAATCTCTACTGTGATACAAATTAAAAGTTTGTTTGAGAAAAACTGGATTGAAATCTTTCTAATGATGTCAAAAAAGATAAATAGATTAAACAAATCATTTAAATCAATATTATTATGTTGTTACTAAAATTAAAAAGATTTTTTTAAAGCCATTTTTTATAGCATTATTAACATAGTCAATTAAATTTAACTGCTCATTTTGAAATATTATTTCAAATATAGAAATAACTATCTGAAAGAGAAAGAATACCATCTTATAATAATACTGCAAGATATAAATAGAGATATTGCTATCATAAAATCAAATCTTCTTAGATAGATTAAAATATAATTTATTTAAATTATTAAAATAATAATTTTATTTTTTTAATTTTATTTTTTTAACATATAAATGATAATATATTATAGTTTATAATAAATATCATAAATCAAACAAATAAATAATTTTTTAAACTTTATTATTGTTTTTTATAAAAAAATTGTGATTTTTAGGTATAATATGACAGATATCGCAAAGTTTTTATGTGAACATGGTGCAGATGTTAGGATAAAAAATATCCATGGTTCTACTGCTCTTCATTTAGCAGCTAGTAAAGGAAATATAGAAATTTGCTATGCTTTGATTCAACACGGTTCTGATATAAATGCTACAGACAGCAGAAATGTAATTTTTAACTTATTTTTTATACGCACTTTAGTTCTTATGGCGATAATTATGGTGGTGATGATGATGATGATAACAATGATGATGATGATAACAATGATGATGAAGACAATGAATTTTAATAGGCTCTGTTATGTACCAAAATATGCATAGTTCTATATGCACATTTTTTGTAAGAGCATAGTTTATTTTATGAATAGAAAACAAAATATTAGGCTCGATTTAACAAATAAAGTTTTTTATTGCTGTGTGTTATAGTAGAGGTTTTGCAAAATTTCAAATGTAATTAACTTTATGCCTACCTTACAATATACTTTACAATTTACATTTTGTCATAGCTACCATACTACTATTGCTTGCTCTTCTTTTGAAAGCTAAGATTTCATAAATACTATAAAAACATAATGGGAAGTCTTAACTTTTACAGTATGCAAGAAGAACAGGTATTGGTATGAAATATAATAATCTAGAAAATGTAGTAAAATGACTAAGATCTATCTATATATCTATATATATATATATATATATATATATATATATATATATATATATATATATATATATATATATATATATATATATATATATATCTATATATATATATATATATATATATATATCTCTATATATATATCTCTATATATATATATATATATATATATATATATATATATATATATATATATATATATCTATATATATATATATATATATATATATATATATATATATATATATATATATATATATATATATATATATATATATATATCTATCTATCTATCTATCTATCTATCTATCTATCTATCTATATATATATATATATATATATATATATATATATATATATATATATATATATATATATATATATATATATATATATATATATATATATATATATATATATATATATATATATATATATATATATATATATATTGTTTACCCCAATATTTAATTAAAAAATAGTTATTTACTTTGAAACATTTAATAATACACTGAGAGAAGTTTTGAGAAAAATATTGCAGTTTGCATCTTTGAATTTAAAAAAAAAGTAAAATCTAATTTTATCGCATGTTTTTCTTTACAAAACTATTTTACTAAATCAGGTTTTTTGTTTTAAACATTAATAATTAAAAACAGGTGTAATTTAAAAATAAATTACACCTGTTACCAAAAATAGACCCTTAGTATATATACTGCAACACAGAGGCATTGTTACAGTTGTCTAACCAACCAATTTGATTGTGAACTTCACTATCAACGAAATTGATAGTGAAGTTGGGAGTTACTAGAAATATATGGCTGTTGCTCAAAGAAATATTCTTTTAGAACTCTCGGGTTAAAGAGCAAGGAAATGGTGTACAGAAAACTCAATAAAATATAAAGATGAAAGAGAGAGTTCTAAAAGATTATTTTTTTGAGTAACAAGTCAAGTGAGAGTGAGTTTTGATTGATGGATCTAGAGACAATAGCTTCTTTGAGCAACAGCCATATATTTGTAGAAAAGAGAAAGAGATGCAACTTTATGATGATGGAAGAGAAGCTTGGGAAATAAAGCAGATCAAACTATGTTTACAATCCGTTTTTGGACCATATCTACAAAAAAATCATTAGAAGAATCGGGCTAAATATGACAACAGTTATTATATTTATTTTAAATTATGATTTTTTTTACTGATTCCATTTTCTACAAACCAACTGTTGAATTTTTGTTGTAATTAAAAAAAAGTTTTTTTGAAATTTTGTTTTAAATACAACAAAAGTTCTAAATTTTTAAAAATTTAGAAACAACTTTCTTTTCTAGATATTTTGTTTTCTATATATATATATATATATATATATATATATATATATATATATATATATATATATATATATATATATATATATATATATATATATATATATATATATATATATATATATATATATATATATATATATATATATATATATATATATATATATATATATATATATTTTTAGTTTTAAATTGTTTCAGCCCTGTTTTAATCTTTTTTCCTTTCAATCCTGTTTTGTTTCTGTTCTCTCTTTAGTCCTTTCCCTTTTGCCACAGTTTTGGATCATCTTGATCACATTTCAGGCCTGAAACCTTTCAGTTATCTCTCAATTCAGTTTCATTTTAGTCATATTTCAGTGTAGTTGCATTTTTTTTGCTTTTAAATCCTGTTTTTGTATTAAATTTTATTTTTAATTTTTTTTTTTTGATTTTGTTCAGTCTTTTTAATCCTATTTCAATATTTACTTGTTTCATTTTTTTTTAGTCCTGTTTCATATTTTTTTTATTTAAATAAAAAGAAAAAAGCTTAAAATAACATTTACTAGTCAATGTCCAAATGAAAGACTCATTATATGAATGAATAGGTCTCATCTATTCTGGATGCAAAATTTAAAAACATTAAAAAATGGAATAGATCCATTAAAATCTCAATTAAAATCTAAAATTTAACTCTTTTTTAAGATGGAATTGGTTAGTCTCATATTTACTTAAATAATTTTGTAAAGGATGATTCTATGGATCAATATTATGGCTACTAAATAATTGAAGCTATCCAAAGTGGATTGCTCCTATGCAACCAGGACTTCTAAAATTAACCTTACATTGCTATTATTATTGTAAATGATTATGAAAGAAAAATAAATAGCTTGTAACATAACCAGATTGCCAGATACAATCTGTTTCATAAGGTTAGGTTTTATTATTTCATGGTCTTCAAAGTTAAAGCAACCCAAGAACTTCTGAAACTTGTAGAGTCTTTTTTGTAGAAGAATATGTTTTAGTTTTAAATCAACTTTAACAGTTGTTAGCAGACCATTCCATTTTGTTTTTTAAAATTTTTTGTGCTTTATAAAAATATGACACCCATTAATAAGTAAATACCGTGATAATAAGTAAACACCCTAAGTATTAGTAAACACCCTAATGATGAGTAATTAAAAGAATAAAAAAGTAATACATAAAGTTATTTAAAAAAATTTATGTATTTGTTTTTATTAGTTCATTTGTTAACATATTTTGATCTTCAAGATCATTTTTAAGACAGTCAATTTAAATTAGGGTTGCATTAAGTCAATTTAAATTAGGGTAGCATAAAGTCAACTTACATTAGGGTTGCATAAAGTCAATTTACATTAGGATACATTAAAGTCAATTTACATTTGGATTGGGTTTAGTCAATTTACATTGGTATTGCATAAAGTCAATTTACATTAGGGCTGCATAAAATCAGTTTATATTGGGTTTCATAAAGTCAATTTGAATTAGGGCTGCATAAAATCAATTTACATTAGTATTGCATAAAGTCAATTTACATTAGGGTTGCATAAAGTTAATTTACATTAGGGCTGCATAACAGCAATGATGTAATGTTTACATGGTGCAATGATGCAATAATGCAATGATGTAATGTTTACATTACAGGTTGTTATAAAGTCTGACTAGTTCACTGTGTTAATTGTTTCTAATGTGCAATTTTGTTGTTTTTAAGTGATTGAAATACGTTGTTTGTAAAAAGTAAAAAATAAATGAAGATTTATTTTTAAATTATAATAGTAAAATAAGTAATAAATAATGATGAAAATGATGATGATGATGATGATGATGATGATGATGATAACGATGATGATGATGATGATGATGATGATGATGATGATGATGATGGTGATGGTGATGATAATGATGGTGATGATGATGATAATGATAATTGTGATCATGATGATAATGATGATTATGATGAAGGTGTCAATATTTAAAATGGGAAATCTTGTAATCCTTTAACCTTACTTAGTATCTATAAAAAAACCTTTCAAAAACTTTAAAAATTTATGGCCAACCTGATGATAATGATGATGATTTCATTTTTATTAGTGCACACCACTTCATATGGCAATTCATGGAGGCAGTGAAACTATAACAAAGTTGCTTATAGAGAATGGTGCAGATGTTTATGCAAAAGATGCTGAAGGGGAGGGGCCTATTCATTATGCTGCTGCTATGGATCAAGGAGAGCTAATTATTTTACTAACAAAAGGAGGTAAATAAAATAAAAAAAATAAAGAAATATAAATATAAAGTAGATATAAGACAGGTGTGTCCAAAATTACCAGGACAGGAGCTTAGCAACAAGAACAGGACAAGGGCTTTTATGGTGCATAAATACATTGGGCATCCCCTTAAAGAAAAGTCCAATTTTCAGTGGAATGTTAAAATATTGGTTTCATAATTAAAAAAACAATTTAATTTTTACAAAATTTACAAGTGAATTTTATTGAAGTATACATCTGCAAAAATATGCAAACAAAACTTAAAAATTATAATTTAGTTTTTTTAAAAGTTTTTTACTTAATTACATATGATAAACAAAATATTTTGAATATAAAGAAGATTGTGTTAAATAATTTTAAAAATGCTAAAGTAAAAATATTCAAGTTTTGATATCAAATCAATATTGTATGAAATTGAACAAATTACAAGTGACATTGCTGATCAGTTTGCAATGGGAAAATTAAGAAGTTTCAGATATAGATAAAAGATATTAGAAAATAAATAAAAAAAAGGCCACAAAATATACCTGAATGAAATTTTAATTTGTAATAATATAATTTTAATTTGTAATAAAATAATATACAAAAAAAAACTGCGTTGTTAAATGCTGAAATAAAAGAGTTTTATAAGTAAAATCTAGTGTTGACACAACCAAACTTTATTTAAGGTTTGGAAATCTATTTGAAATATGTCTGGTAAAAAAACATTTATTTTTGTAAAAAGTTTAAAAGCTTGCATAAAATTTGCTTATGAAAATTTTAACTGAACAAAAAAACAATAGGAATACTTTTTAGTGATGAATCGAAGTTTATTTTGTTTGGATTTGATGGTATTAGATACATTTATCATCTTAAAAGAACCTTAGTAATGAACTAACATACAAAATACCAACAGAAAAACATGAAGGTGAAACATTACAGTTTGGGGTTGCTTTAGTAGAGATTGTGTTAATCCTATTCACTTGATTGTTGGTATAATGTAAAAAAATATAAATAAAGTTATTGTTAAGGATATTATGCATATATTTATATTTATTGGGGCAACTAATATAAAACATTACATCTCACCAACTTTAAATACAATATTGTGCCAATATTATTTTTTTACTGTTGGCAGGATTGCATTTTAACAAAAAAATGATATAAAAACAACATTTGCATCCCATACATAAATTGCAACATTGTTCTAATGTTTTACCAACATATGTATGCTAGCTGTGTGTGAAACAAAGTATCAAAGCAATTTACTTTAAATTAAGATATTTTTAATTAAAAAAATGTCTTAAAATAATTTTTTTTTTTCAGTCTATATACTTTTACTCAAGTTATGTCCATTATGCACTTTTTTGCTTACTTTTGCAACACTACTGTATTTTTGTTTATAGTCATTACATATGTATATATATATATATATATATATATATATATATATATATATATATATATATATATATATATATATATATGAATATATATATATATATATATATATATATATATATGTATATATATATATATATATATATATATATATATATATATATATATATATATATATATATATATATATATATATATATATATATATATATGTATATACATATGTACATATGTATATATATATATGTACATATGTATATATACATATCTATACATATATATATACATAAATATATATATATATATATATATATATATATATATATATATATATATATATATATATATATATATAACATGCGCTTGGTATATATATATATATATATATATATATATATATACAGTAACGTTACAGGGAGTAGATGTAAGAGAATTTGGCCAATAATTACTTGTATATTTATATGTATATGTATATATATATATATATATATATATAAATATATATATATATATATATATATATATATACATATACATATAAATATACAAGTAATTATTGGCCAAATTCTCTTACATCTACTCCCTGTAACGTTACTGTATATATATATATATATATATATATATATATATATATATATATATATATATATATATATATATATATATATATATATATATATATATATATATATATATTTATATATGTATATATATAAATACATATATATATATATATATATATATATATATATATATATATATATATATATATATATATATATGTATATATATATAATATAAATTAGTAAAATCACTTATCTAATTTTCTTCTTTAACTACTTGTTTTTCCATTAGTAGGTTCATCGGGAAGAACAGTAGCCTTCTTGATGAACCTACTGATAGAGAAACAAGTAATACTCTGTTCTTTAAGAACATCGAGGACTCTCTTTGTAGAGTACACTAACATAATTTATATATATATATATATATATATACATATAAATATACAAGTATATATATATATATACAAATAAAAAATGCAAAAAAGATATATGTATATATATATATATATATATCTTTTTTTTCACTTTGTTAAATGATCCTTATCACACATACTGAAACTCCTTTTAAATTATCATTATCACATTATTTTTCAGTGATATACGAGACTCAGAGAAAAATCAAGAATCTTTTTGGATGAACCTTTTTTAAAAAGTATTTAAAGTCAATGACTTTTTAGTTATTTTCAAAGCAAACTTTACGTTTTTTATACAAGTAACTGAGAATTATGCCAACATTGATTTTTTACTGTTGGCAATGTTGCATTAGTAAATGATATAAAAACAACATTTGCAACATGATTGACTACAATCCACACAAAATCATCAGAAAATTTATGCACTGTAGTTGAGTTTGTTATCAGAGTGTATGTGCTATTTCAGTTCCAAATCAAATACATCATTCAATTAAGGATAGTGCTTGTCATCTTTACAATTTCATTCAGTATTCCAAATACTTGATCAAGTTAACTGATTTATTGATCCAGTGATTGCTCAGAGTGCTTACTTTGCATCTCCAGAAAACATTCTGCTTGCAATGCTGGCTGATAAGAGAATAAATATCAGTGCCCTTAGCATTTGAAGAGTCAATAAAAGCATGAGAATCATGTTAGATGATTGGTCTCAATGGGATTAGAAACTTTGAAGCAAATGACTGCATTGAGCTAATTGACTGATTGTTCAGCAAAGAACAACCAATGCTGACAATTGATGTGACAACAGAAGATTTAAAAAGTATGATGGAAGAACTAATACCAATTGGCTGGACTTTTATAAAGTTCCCATGCTACACACATTATAAGTGACAGTATAACTGATTACAAAGAAAGTGTGCAGTCATGAAAATCAGAATGAAATACTTTGCTCCACTTTGAAATCAAGATTTGAAATCAGCCATGCCTGAATACGGATAAAGTGACAGTACAAAATGTAAAGGCATAACAAAACACACATTTGTGTACTTTTATTTTAAAATATTTCTATTTTTTATATTTTTTCTATTGTTTATTTCTAATAAATACTAGTTAAATAATGAAAAAACAATGTATTGGTCAAAATTTGGGTAATTTCAGATTCCTTACCAGAACAGAAGATATTGTTTGTGGTGCATCAAACTTTGTACAGTAATTAACCATATATAAATGGAACTTTGGCACACTACCGCAAAGTGCTGTAACATTTGAAAAATTTTAATAAAAAAAAGATTTGGCAATTTTACTAAATTTTTGAATTTACTGTTCATTATTAGAACAGAAGAGATTATTTTAGGGTGATTAAACTTTGAACAGAAAATACTAATGTATAGAGGTAACTTTTCTGCTCAACCTTAAAAGCATTATTAAGGTTTGCTTTTTCTCATCCTAAATTTTATTCTTTTTTTTTTTGCAATGCTTAAACTTAATTTAATTTTGTTGGAATTGTTTTTTTATGGTAAGTATTTGATTTGCTAAGATGTATTACTTAACATTTTAAATCATTTTAGTTAAAGAAACTGTGTGTGTAAACACTTATCTTATTTTTCATCTTTAATATATAATCTTATAATAGATTTTTATTGTCAATATTGTTTATTTTTTCTAGTAATTTAGTGTCATATGCATAGAGTTTATTTACAGCAGATTAGAATTCTGGAAGTTCACTGATGTATAATTTGATGAAAATAGGATAGAGCACAAGTCCCTGTAGCATTCTACTTTTGTCTGCAATTTTTAAAAAACAAAATAATCCATTTTAAAGTGTTATCATTAATTGCATAAGGCAATTGCATTAAGTTTGTGAATTAAATAACACTGGAAAGCAAAATAAAATGCTTTATGAAAGTCCATAAAAACATCAACTAATTTATAGTAAAATCATTTGCTTTTATCACAAGTTTTTTTTCACTTATTTTTTTTAGCTTGTTAACTTATTGATATTAAGTTTCTATGAGGTTGTTGTTGTATGATGCTTTTTATAAAAACTTTGTTTTAAAAATAACTTTAAATATGAATGACATATGAAGACAATTAGGCAATAATTACCAATAATTACCTTAACAATGACATATGAAGGCAATTAGACAATAATTACCATCTCTAGCTGACTGCTCTTATATAATTTGTTTTAACTGATCTGAACTTGTATATGAATGCATTGAAAGTATTAATATATGGCCTTAGGATGTGGCTAATAAAACTGAACAATTTTTTATTACCAAAGAACTCACTCCATCTATACCCACACATTCACTCCATTTGTATCAACACATTTATTTAGGTCTTACTTTATTAGCATGTTGTAAATTGATTTGAAATCTTGAAATAAGTCTTCTCTGGTTCAAAGGGCTTGGTAGTTATTAATTAATTTGTAAGAGCTTGGTAATGATTAATTAATTGCAGCATCTTATTAAACTGAAGTATCTTGGCCAATGCTAATAATGCTAAAGAATACTTAAGTTTTGGAAATTATAATTATAAACAGTTGTTTTAAGTAACTTTTGTATTCTAATTTAATTTGTTCTTACTCAATAACTTTACCTTCTTTTTTTTTTAACTTTAACTACTATATAATCTAATAAAAATTTGTTGAGATTTTATATGTTTGGTAATAATTTGTTGACATTTTATTTGTTTGATAATAATTTGTTGACATTTTATATGTTTGATAATAATTTGTTGACATTTTATATACTTGATAATAATTTGTTGACATTTTATATACTTGATAATAATTTGTTGACATTTTATATGTTTGATAATAATTTGTTGACATTTTATATGTTTGATAATAATTTTTTGACATTTTATATGTTTGATAATAATTTGTTGACATTTTATATGTTTGATAATAATTTGTTGACATTTTATATGTTAATAATTTGTTATATGTTATAATATATGTTATAATAATTTTGTTATATTTTATAATAATTGTTATATGTTATAATAATTTGTTTATATGTTAATAATTTGTTAACGTTGTATATGTTTGATAATAATTTGTTGGATGTGTGACAAATTGAGTTAAATATTTTTGGTAGTCTATAAAGTTATTAACTAATGAATTAGTATTTGTTTTATCATGTAATTTAATACCATTGCTCTAAGTTATAGTGGGTAAATGGAATTTACCTAATAGTTCATTAAATTATGTGTTTGTTTAATGCTTTGAATAAATGTTGGTTTGTGTAATTTCTGTTAACTTGTTACATTAATTTCTGTTATGGGTTGTTCAGGTGTTCATGAATGCACCCTAATATACAACAATAATAAGCTAAAATATTTTTGCAACTTCTTTAAAATTATTTAATTTTTTATCAAATCCTTTAATGATTTAAATGTACAGCATATAACTTTTAATATTTGGTATGGATGTTTGAAAATTTTATCAACTTATTTCTTTATAAAATCATTTAAATGAAAATGACACAAGATATAACTGTAGATACATATGTTTTATTATATTATACAATACTATTTTAGATATTGTTGGTCAAAAGTCATTACGTATCTCAAAAAATGCAATTTTTGATTTCAATTTTAAACTAATTTACTATACGCAATCTGTTAAAACCAAGGTATTTAAAATATAGGAAGAAAAAAGCAATTCCAAGTTGTATTGAATTTTGAATTTTTAAATTTCTGAGTTTTCATCATAGCTTCAGTTTAGTTCAGGTAAAGCTGAAAACCTTAACTTTTTCAGATACATGATAATTTAGACCAACAATATGAATTGATGTGTTAGATTTATTTGATAAAAATAGTAGAGACCTATTTAATAGCAAATAAAATTAGTACTTAGACTTATTTAATATCAAATAAAAGTAGTATAAAGACTTATTTAGTATCATATAAAAATAATACAAAGACTTATTTAGTACTAAATAGAGGTTTTATGGTTGTTCATTGGTACTAAGTTTTGTTACATAATACATATTTGATTATCTTATTTTATGAATCTGATTTCCCCAAGTCAGATTCATAATGGATTATAAATCTGAATCTAAATTATGATTGGTTTATGAGTATGATGCCAATTTCTTTGCATTGAATTGCAAAAGAGTTCTTGAGTCTTTAATCTATAAAAGTTCTATAAAATTTATAAAAATTATTCATGTCACAGGAAGGTGGGAAATATACAAGGTTTATGACCTCTTCCTACCCTTATCCACAATTAAATTAAAGGTTGCTGGGTAAGTTGCCATCACTAAGACTAATGAGCTTTACCTGCTCCACTCTTGATTTAAAAATGTTTAGTAAAAAAATTTGTTATGACTGATTTTAAAGTATTATTAATGGTATACAGTTTTATATGTTAAAAAAATATTATTAGAATTAAAAATAAGTTTAAACATATTTATTTTACAAGCAATTTAGTTGTATGCAATGTCAAATTTGTAAAACAATATAGGTAATATTTCAAAAATAACAATATAGAAGCAAAACTGTTCTTATTGTTGATTTCAAGTTTAAAAAACTCGAATAACTTTTTTTTGTTACAAAATTTAATATTTCCAATAAATTTTACTGTGATACAAGAAGAAAAAACCTAAAAAAAAAAAAAAAATAATAAGGATTCAAATATTAAAAGTAGGAATAAAAACTTCCATATCTACATAAGTATACAAAACTACATATGAGTCTCTTTTTCCATAGAAAATAGATTTAGAGTAGAAACGTTGTAAAATTTAAAAAAAAAGAGAATGTGGAAAAACTGAGCACATGGTAGAATAAAATACATCTTACAAATGGGAAAGTAGAATGGGTACAAAGAAGAATAAGGTAAAACTGAAACACAAGCAAATAAAAAGATTTATGCAAATAGTGTAGTTAAATAGATAAAGGTACAATGATAAAAAAGAAACAAACTATAACTTATAAAAAAAAATATGAAGTCTATGAAGTTTATAAATATTTTTGTAAAACATTTATCTGTTTTGAGTTATTTATATTTCTGCAATATTTTAACTCATAAAAAAAAAATCATATTATATAAAATTTAAGGTAAATGTATTTTATATATATTTTTTGAAATTAAACATAATTTACACCTAACTCTTATAATATATTATTTACTAAAATGCTAAATATATATTTTTGAAATTATACAAAATTATACTTTTGTTACTTCAATTTTTGATAATTTATCAATGGTGTGATAAAATTATCTTTAGCTCTTGCAATAGTTGATGAAGAGAACTGGGAAGAAACACAAAGAAAGTATGTCAATCTAAGAACTAAAAAAAAAGATGCTGCACTTCACATTGCTGCTCGGGAAGGTTATTTAGATACAGTAAAGGCCTTGGTGTCTATTGGTGCCAATATAAATATTTGTTCTGCTGCGCTTTATACGCCATTGCATCTTGCAGCAATAAATGGCAATAAAGATATGGTTCAATATCTGTTAGAACATAATGCCAAAATAAATGTGTTTGATCACCAAAATATGACTCCTACACATAAGTACGTTTTTTTTAAACAAACTTTGAAGTGATAATGTCTTACACTGCTAATTTAGTATGTTTTTTGTATGTAGGGCATGTCAGTTTGGCAGATTAGATGTAATAAAATTGTTAATTGAACAAGGAGCACAAATTGACTCTAAAGATTGTGATTCTTTTACTCCGCTTATGTCAGCTGTTTCAGAAGGTCATAGTGATGCTGTTAAATATTTGTTGAAATGTGGAGCGAGTGTGGCCATAAGTGAAATGAATATGAAAAATGTTCTTCATTTAGCAATAGAAAACGGTCATAGTTCAACACTTAAGGTCCTTTTACAAAATGGAGGTTCTTTTTTAATTAATTCACATGATATGGACTTTAAAAGACCAATCCATTATGCTGCTATGAGTGATTTTGAGGTAAAACTGAAAATAGTTTATTAAAAAATTAGTAAAAAAAAAATGTAGTTGCCCAATATTATATATATATATATATATATATATATATATATATATATATATATATATATATATATATATATATATATATATATATATATATATATATATATATATATATATATATATATATATATATATATATATATATATATATATATATATATATATATATATATATATGTATATATATGTATATACAAAATAGAAAATGTATTATTATGGTATAATAATAATAATACAAATAATCTAGTGCGTTTAAGAGTGCTCAATACTATTAAATAATAGAACAATATTTATTTATTTATATTAAATGAATAAAAACAACTTTTGATGCATCAATCAAAAGTTATTTTTATTCATTTAATATGAGTAAATATATATATATATATATATATATATATATATATATATATATATATATATATATATATATATATATATATATATATATATATATATATATATATATATATATATATATATATATATGTAGTTTCCCAATATCGAATATCTGTTATAAACAAGTTTTAGGGTAAACAGATATTAGATATTGAGCAACACATTGTTTCCTCAAAATTGTTCATCCATTACTATGCAAAGAACTTAATTGAGAACATGATGTTAACAACCAATGAATTGTGGTTCTTCCAGTTTTTATTCAGTAAAACTTCTTTGTAACTGACTGACAATCCCATTCCTTCATCCTGTGATTACATTTCTAGTGTCCGCTATGATCATATTTATACTCTTCCATAAATTGTATCAATTAAGAATAGCTGTTATATCTTTAACAACTATTCTTTTTGGTCATTTTTATTCATATTGGTCATTCCATGCCAAGTGAAACAGGGTCAAACATGGACCCCCTCAGATTTTGATGAAACTTAGTGGGTTGGTTTATATCAATGAGAAAAGCAATTCCTGAAAATTTCAGCTTCAAATCTTATGTGGTTCATGAGATATGGCCATTTGAAATTTCTGATTTTTCCAAAAATAAAAACTTCAGTAGCAAAAACATGTTTTGTTCATACTTTGAAGCTCTGTATTTTAAAAACTAAATTTCAGAAAACCTTCTAGTTTTTTTTATCATATACAATGCTAGGCTTACTTTGTTAAAACTTTGACATTAAATTTTTAAATGTCACATTTTATCCATAATGGCTGCCTAAAAAACCGAAAAAATTGTTTGCAGATATAGAAAGTTGGTCAATATACAAAACTAGCAATTTAAGAAGTAAAAATACATATCTTTTTAGTTTCTATATATGGTAGGCTTCCTAATTTTCAGAAATTTGCTGATATGATACAATTCAGTAAGAAATTATGGACCCCTAAAAATGGCTCCGGCTAGAACTTACAAAATTGTGCCTTCCTTTAAATCCACTGGTAACCTATGATCAACACTGATTTTCATGATATACTCTTTTTCTACTCATTTAGTAGACTTTATTAAAGTGATTTCAGAAAAAAAAATAGTGGGTACTCATGGGGAAGTTACAAAGTCAGAACAATGAAGTTGGCACAAAATGCATTAAAAACGCAAAAAATAGAGATATTGATGTACTTTAAGATTCATTATTTACTGCAATGCAAAAAAATGTATATTTATATGAAAGTATATCAAAATCATTGCTACAAATTAGCTTTAAATTAGGACTGAATTAAACTCAGGTTTTAAATAACCTTAGTTGCCCCCCTACCACCCTGTCTTTTTATTTTTTTAAATGTGTATTTTTGCCCAGAACATTCTTATCTTAAGAAGAACTTATTTCTTGATAACATTTTAAACTACTGTTTATTAAACATTTTAGCTTATGCAGTGTTTCTGTTATTATATCTGATGCATGAAGTATCTTTATGCACCAAGTATTGAACATACTCAAATAATAGCTGTGTTATTTATTTGTAAATGCTTATTAGACACAACATCAACATTAAGATGGAATCATTCAAGTATGCTTTAATACGTTTTTTCGATTGATCAAGCTTATAAAAATTTTGCTTTGTTATTATATAATTTCGTTATTAAACATACTATTGTACAAATGTATTATTTCAGTTTTTTCTTGAGCTGATAGTTCATAGCATCTACCAGTTGCTGATTGCACTTTTAAAGATGAAATTTTGCAAAGAACGTGCATTATTGGAACCCAGCAAATATCTTCTCTATGTGGCCAAGTAAAAGTGTTAGAGGAAATAGACTGCTTCATGAACTTTATAAGGATATCTTGATTTTCTTCAGATATTTCCACAATATTACCTAAAAACCATTTTCCATCATAAACACATGCTATATAAATTCCGGGTGAAAGAGATGCAAGTGGAATTGTATAGTTCTGTTGTATTGTTGAAATATTTACATTAGTAAACACATTGTCGAATGAAACCTGTCTCATTTGTAAAGTAGTTAATGATTGTGGTATAAAACAATGGTGGTTTCTTGTTCCTGGAATTGTTGAACAAGTAGCATAACGTTCTTCCAATTTAAATTTCATGCAATGTAATGTAACTGCATCATTTGAAATGTGTTGAAAATGTATTCCATCAATATTTTGTCTACACCAATCATACATTTTTTTAGATGAACTGATAGGATCAACTAGTGATTGTAAACTTGTCCTTGCTACAAGTCTTTTGACAGTTCCCCCAACACCATCACACGCACTCTTTCCATGTGATGTAGCAAAAAAATGCCATTCCGCAGATACGTCATGATCTTGTTTATGGTGACATAAGTTAGATAGGTTTTTATAATTTTTGTATTGTGAACTTGCACCATCACTGAAATAAATGCAGTGGTTAAAGTAGGGTATCATGTTTTTTATATGTTTTAATACTTCATGAATGAAACAATGTACTGAGTTTGTATTGTGTTGCAAATTATCTGAGATAATGCAAATACTTTTACATTTTATCTTGTTTTCTTCCATAAAGTAAAAAACAAAAGGATGCAATGTTGCTTGGCTATTGTTCCAATGGAAACCTTGTACTGCATCTTGAATTAAAAAACTGTAATTCTCAGCAAAGTCTAATAATATTAAAATATGATTACTTGCTAATGTGATTTTTAGATGCTGCAAATATGCTGCTTGATTTTTGGCTATATAGTGATGGTCTCTTAATTGGTCTATTTGTTGACAAGCTTTTTCAATAAAATCGTCCACTGGAAGAGTTACCGGAACTATATCATGTTTTTTGTTAGCTTTTTGCCACTGATTAAAGTTGATTTCTTCAATGCTATGTTTATCAAACAAAGTAGTAAGATACTCTTTAAGTGTGTCATTATCTGGGCAGTTATCACAACAATGCAGCATGCAGTCTCGATTTGTTAAGTCACATACAACTAATGTCAAGAGATTTTTATAGTCTGAAATATCTGGTATTTTTAATGCTAAAAGTTTGGCATTCTGGTGGTACTCACAAACGCATACTGAGTGGAGACCTGAAGCACCTCCAACAGGAATACACCACTTTGGTCTAAGTTCACAAAACTTAGAAAATCCAATCTTGACATCTAAGGAAATTTTAACAAACTCTAAATAAAGTTCTTTTATATTAAGTAATAGCAGTTCATCTGATTGGTAAAATTCATGGACTAGATTTTTTACTTTCTCACTAATAGATCTTCCTTCTTTTTTAGATGGCTCCGCCATTATGCCATGCATTTGTTTCAAATGCCTTGCAGTTTTTATCATTCTTTGGGAAGCAGAAAAATAGTTTTCTGTATAGTTAATGTTCCAACTCTCAGGAACCAAAGTTAGCAATTTAAGTTTTTCTGGTTTTGAAGAAATATCAAACTTTGCTTTAATTAATTCCATTAGTGAGTCCAAATCTTGTTTACTTTTGCAACAAAGTTCTTTTGTTTTTGGTTCATCATTTATTAAATCCAGAGAAACATCTAAAACAGTTGCTACTTTCTTTTTGGTTGCAGTATGGTTTTTTTTGCATAGCTGACTCTGTCTTTATTAGCTACTAGTTTTAGAGGTGAACAACGAAAGGTGTTAATGCTTAAATTAAAGTTTTCTTTTGAAATATGAATCCCGTTAAAATCGTTATCTTGATTTTTACATGAATTGCTTTCATGTTCTTGTTTTCTTAAGTACAATATTTTACGACATTCTGTACAAAGCTTATAACCAGGTATTAAATCAAATTCCTTTGCAACAGCAGCACTGATAACTCTGACAGATTCTAAAAAAATATAAGATAAAACACTAAATAAATAAATAAAGAAGACTTTATCTTTAATATAATCATTAAGTTAATCTATTTTTAAATACTTTTAATTTTAATTTTGTGTTTGTTAAAAGGATCGCAACAAAAGCTTCCAACATACGATAAATCAAATCTATCCAAGAAGATCTTTTCATGGTGATTACAAATAGTTTTAATAGGATTTACTTTACATCTTAAGTGCACAAGCTCTTGATCTTTTTTTGTTAATTCCTCAAAAAATTTAATTTTCTTGATTTTCGTAAATTTTCCTTCATGACAATTTTCATTTAATTTTTTTCCAATGCAACATTGAGTTAGATCTAAAGATGAACTTGCCATTTATTTTTAATTATTATCTAAAAAAAATATATTTATTTTCAATTTTAGAAGTGTAAACTAAAGTTTCCATAAGTTTTGACACAATAAATAAGTATAGAATGATAAATTTTATATACGAAATTAAAGATAAAAGGTACACCAATAGCTTGTTTGCCATGTCACAGCTTTTAACTGTGTATGTTCAATTGTTATTTTGTGCATTAACACTTCATGCATTAGAAAAAAAACCAGACACATTTTGTAAAGTAAAACAAACAATAACATATTTCTTTTAAGATAAGTTCTGGGAGAAAATACATATGTATTTTCTTCCAGATATATGTTAAAAAATAAAAAGACAGGGGGGGGGCAACTAAGGTTATTTAAAACCTGAGTTTAATTCAGTCCTAATTTAAAGCTAATTTATAGCAATGATTTTGATATACTTTCATATAAATATACATTTTTTTGCATTGCAGTAAATAATGAATCTTAAAGTACATCAATATCTCTATTTTTTGCGTTTTTAATGCATTTTGTGCTAACTTCATTGTTCTGACTTTGTAACTTCCCCATGAGTACCCACTATTTTTTTTTCTGAAATCACTTTAATAAAGTCTACTAAATGAGTAGAAAAAAAGTATATCATGAAAATCAGTGTTGATCATAGGTTACCAGTGGATTTAAAGGAAGGCACAATTTTGTAAGTTCTAGCCGGAGCCATTTTTAGGGGTCCATAATTTCTTACTGAATTGTATCATATCAGCAAATTTCTGAAAATTAGGAAGCCTACCATATATAGAAACTAAAAAGATATGTATTTTTACTTCTTAAATTGCTAGTTTTGTATATTCACTAACTTTCTATATCTGCAAACAATTTTTTCGGTTTTTTAGGCAGCCATTATAGATAAAATGTGACATTTAAAAATTTAATGTCAAAGTTTTAACAAAGTAAGCCTAGCATTGTATATGATAAAAAAAACTAGAAGGTTTTCTGAAATTTAGTTTTTAAAATACAGAGCTTCAAAGTATGAACAAAACATGTTTTTGCTACTGAAGTTTTTATTTTTGGAAAAATCAGAAATTTCAAATGGCCATATCTCATGAACCACATAAGATTTGAAGCTGAAATTTTCAGGAATTGCTTTTCTCATTGATATAAACCAACTTACTAAGTTTCATCAAAATCTGAGGGGGTCCATGTTGGAATCCTAAAATTTTAGACCATTTGGCAAGGAACGACCCATATATATATTGTCAATTCCACAAAATCAGGACATTATGAGTAAAAAGTTAACTAATAATTTGGGTCTTTTTTGTTTTCTTTTTCGATTTCTATGGTATTTAACTAATGTTATATAGAATATCATAATATATTTGTCATGATTAATATATTTTTTAGCTATTTATAACAATGTGATATTTTTCTTAACTAATATTACAAAATCGTGCGAATCGGGTTTGTTTGTATATTTAAAGTGAAAGGTCAAAACCAAAGCGTAATTTTTGTTTTATTTGTGACGTTGTACAGTGAACGTGTTTTAACACTCTGATTGACAACATCTTTACTAAATGTAAGTAACTCATTTATTTTATATTTTTATTTTTAATGTGACATGCGAGATTATTTTTCAAAACTTTTTTTATTTATTTTTATATTAAGATGAATTAAGATATAATTTTTTTCTAAAACTAAAGTCAGCATTATATAATTGTAATTATGTTTAAAAAACTTGATTATATGATTTTATTTTTTATTGTATATTATTTTTTTAAGTGGTGACGTGCGTGAACTTTTATATCACGCGCGTCACCATTTTTTATCTGTAACGTGCGTGATTGCTAAATCTTAAGGAAAAATGTTATGCTCAATTAAGTATAGACCTAAATTAAATTTTAATTATTTAAATAGTGGTTACATATATTTGTTTCCGTTTGTGCTGATTTTATGTTATATTACAAATTGAAATGTATTTTTTTTCTGAAAGTAAAACAATTTTATGTGTATAGCAGATGTTTAAAAATTGTTTTTTTTTTATTTAGACTACCACAACTAAATTTTAAAAGTTTTGTTTCTTTATAGTAATAATGGGAGAAACAAAATCTCAACTCCAAAAGGAATATAGGGGACGAAATGAAGAGTATAGGAGCAAAGAAAGAGAGCGAGCAAAAAGAGAGCAAATTACAATGAGGAGGAGCAGAATAAGAAGCATGAACAAGGTAAATTAAGGATGCGAGCATATAGACAAAGACAAAAAGCATTGAAAGAGTCAATAGAAGCACATGAAGAAACTCCATACAAGACAAAGAGTGCTGAGAAACGTGCCATCAATAGAGTTCTATTTCAAGTCAATTCAACAATGCCTCATTCTCCAAGGAAATGTGCATTTGTCAAGCATAACGTTTCTCAACACTTATTAGGAAAGTCTCCCAGCAATCTTATTGTGTCACACCGTTCAACTGCTTTGTCTCCTGAAGTGGTAGAGCTTGTGATAAATTTTTTTCAAGAGAATGATATCTCAAGAATGGCACCAGGACAAAGAGACTTTCTTAAAGATGGTGACAAATTAATTCAAAAGGTATGTATTCATTTCATTACAAAATAATATACCAAGTATAACGATATCGATATAACGAAATAACATGTAGGAACTGTATAGGGGTAGATAAAATTGAGGATAAGATAAGTTAATTGGCTACATGATTATGAGGTTATTAACTTAGGAACACATTGTTTTACATGTTATATATTTTTATACATATGCATGTTTTTCAGAGACATCTTCAGCTAACATTAAGAGAGGCTCACAAGCGGTTTCAGCAGTCGTACAAAAATGTAAAAATTGGAAAATCAAAATTTGCTAGTTTATGTCCGAAACATGTTTTACTCTGTGCTGAGACACCTCACAATGTCTGTGTCTGTTCTATTCACTACAACTTTATACATGTAGTGAATGTGTTAGCACCATACTTTGAATCCATTCCTCTTTATGATAATGAATGGACGGAAGTCAATGCTGTTTGTATCAACCCATCAGAAAAGTGCTTCTTCAATGAATGCACATTCTGCCAAAATGCTGCATCTTTTCAGCACCTTGCAGTCGAAAATGAAGAAATAATGGTCAGCGTTAGTCAGTGGCAGAAAACAACAAATGAGCTTCTAGGCAGAAAACAATTTGTTAAGGTGACCGTGACTCAGTCGTTAATTAGCCTTCTTGAGGTGAGTAAAGCTATATTATATATGCATAAAATGTTAATATTTTAACAAATTACATGCTCTCAATAAATGAAATATTAAAAAGATTTTGCTAAGAATGCATTTAATATTTCATTTATGCCACAATATATTAGAAAAGAATCGAATGTAACATAGTATTTAAGTTGCAATTGTGTTGTCTTATTTCTGCAGGAGTTCAGGCGTCAGTTGCCCAATTTTATTCGTCACCATTACATAAAGCGGAAACAAGCTGGTCTGTACAATCATCTCAGATTAAATTCATCTCAAAGAAATATATTGCTACAAATTGAATTTTGAAAATTATACTTGTCAACAGCAAGATGAAATTCAGCCAGCTCACTGGATGCAAAGCCAGATATCTCTGTTTACAGGCTATCTTTGGGATGGCACATCTCAATCTCCTCATTCCTTTGTTGTGATTTCTGATAACATCACTCATGACAAAAACACAGTGACAGCTTCGATTGTACAGGTGTTAAAAACTTACTTTCAAACCAACTCCGCTTGCAAGCATCTTGACATCTTCAGCGATGGACCAGCTGCACAAATGAAAAACAAATATATGTTTGCATTGCTCAACAATATTAGGGCAGCTTTTCACCTTGAAAGACTCAGGTGGTCATTTTTTGCTACCTTGCATGGAAAAGGGGCTGTTGATGGCATTGGTGGAACAGCCAAACGCTTGGTGTGGCATGCATTAATGACATGAAATGCTCATTCTTTTCTTAATGCAAAGGATTTTGTGACAGTTCTCAGAGCAACAGAGACAAATATACATGTTATTCTCTCAAGCCCAGTTGAGGAAAAAAGTGCACTTGAATTGCTTGATGGTAATCGTGTGTTTTTATCAGCCAAAAAAGTGCATTTAATTTCTAATTTAATTTCTGACACCTTTATCATCATTGGGACTGTGATGATAAAGGTGTCAGACGTTTTCGTGTTCATCCACCTTAACTCCAGTATGAGTGTGACTTGCTTGACTTAGATTCTGAGGTATGTACTCAAATGTTCCAATCATATATATTAGTTGTAATTATAAAACAAATTATTTTATTTTGTTTATTTATAAAAAATTGTCCAAAACATCTATGAAGTTGAATTTATTTACAATACAAAATATTATAGCAATTTATTTATTTCTTTAAAATATTTTGATGCATTTAATCATATTTTATATTTTTCAAATCAGGTCAACTCTTCAACTAATGCACAAAGCTTCATTAAAAGTACAACAACCAGAGCCGGAAATTCATTTACCTTAAAACCATCTGCAGATGCTCTTTCAAGATGATATAGATGATGAAATTCCACAGCTGCCTCAGTTCTCTCAAAGAGGAGTTGAAAATGGCGATTATGTGGTAGTTTGAGTGCTTGTTAAGTCCCGAGGCAAGGCTCTGGACAAATATGTTCATTATGTGGGTAGTGTGGTCTCTGGTGTGCATAAAACACCTGATAACTGGCACATCCAGTGTATTAGGCGTCACGGAACTTCAATACAGCAATTTGTGTATCCTTCTGTTGATGACATCTATTTTCTCCATTAGTGACATTGTTAAGACACTTGTAATTCCAAAAGTAATACGTGGTACAATCTACAACTTTTCTGATGATTTATCATCAATTCCTGATTTGCGCTGATTTGTTTTTGTGTTTTTTTGTGTTGTTTATTTGCTTGTAAAGTAAGCATAAGCTTTTTCCTAAACGTTTCATATATGTGTACTAGTTTTTTAAATTTAATGGAATCATCAATGAAATTTTGCTAATAATTTTGTGGGATAATTATAACATAAGACTAGCAAACAATTAATTATAACTGTAACAATAAATTATATTGCATTTTTATCTGAAATGTGACGTGCGTGATAGATAAAAATGTGACGTGCGTGAAGTACACAATTTTGGAAAATGTATTACCACTTTCATGTACTACACATTCTGGTGTCTTTTTTAACATTTTCCGCTTTGTTATAGATTCAAGTATATTGCGTTTAAAAATGACACAGATAGTGCTTATAACGGCTCAGGAAAATAGTGTTTTTTGATGATGAAATTATGGCTTGTCCAATTCAAGTGACGTGCTTGACCATCATTATATGTATAAATTAAATGTTTTACATACTTAAAATTAAGAATTTATGTTTTTATGTTGTAAAAGTCATGTTTGGCAACAGATTTATGCATCTAATAGTGCTCTATATTTTTTTATAATATAATTTATAATAATATATATATGTACAAATATATATATATACATACATATATATATATATATATATATATATATATATATATATATATATATATATATATATATATATATATATATATATATATATATATATATATATATATATATATATATATATATATATGTACATATATATATATATAAACATATATATATATATATATATATATATATATATATATATATATATAACATATATATATATATATATATATATATATATATATATATATGTTTATATATATATATATGTACATATATATATATATATATATATATATATATATATATATATATATATATATATATATATATATATATATATATATATATGTATGTATATATATATATTAATATATATATATATATTAATATATATATATGTATGTATATATATATATGTATGTATATATATATTATTATATATATATATATATATATATATATATATATATATATATATATATATATATATATATATATATATATATATATGCATTTATATATATACATATATATATACAGCGCCCACATACATATTAGGGTAGGTCTTAAAAAAATTTGATTTTGAATGTTGATAAAATGTTTCTTCTGGATAATATAAAGTAGATGTAAAAAATTGTATTTTTTTTAGTATCTTTCTTTGCTGCCTTATTTAAAATTTTTATTCTTTTAACATTTTTGTTCATTTAACTTTTTTATTTATTCAAATTTAACTAAGTGTAAAAATTTAACTTTGAGTAGTGTAAAAATTAAAAAAGATTGACTAAGTGTAAAAATTCAACTTTTAATTGCGTAAATTAAATAGTTTAATTGGTATTATTATCAGTTAGTAATTTATTAGTAACTTATTAATTTGGTAATAAAAATTAACTTTGAATAGTGTAAATTATTTCTCGTGAATAATAAGTTAAATAGAATAAAAAATTGATTTTTTTTGACATTATTTGTTGCTAAAGGACCTTATTTTAGCATATTTATACATTTTTAGGCTTTTTTTTTTATTATTATCAAATTACCAAGTAATTTTTGTTATAAAACTATTGTTTTTTTTTTTAATTATGGTAAACTTAGGATAATATAAGGAAAACAGAAAAGCAATCAATTTTTTTGGTTTTCTATTACTGATGGGTCTAATTTAAAATGTGAATTTTTAAGATTTTTTCAATACTTATCATATATAATTGTAATATATATTAGTTTGATCATAAGTTTTTAAATGTAAGTTCAAATATTTTTCCGAAAAATAACTATCACTATTATATGATAGCCAATCATAGTTATTTTTCTAAAATATATTATATGATAGCCAATCATAGTTATTATTCTATGATATATCATATTATAGTCAATCATTGCTATTTTTCTATGATTGGGGAAAATCGGGGAGAGTTCGGACACATAGAGAAAATAGACCCTTAAATATTCCTTATCCTGTTAACACTCGGACAATAATGTCTATGGTCAATATGTTGGTAGACAGACGCTTTTAAATTGTTAAGTGACAGTTTCCCACTAAAAAATGATTTTAGAGTGAAAAAAATGATTTTAGAGTTTTTTAATGTAAAATTTTCCATGTGAATCATTCAGATTCTAGTTATGAACTCGGTGCAATTTTTTTCAGAACAAATGATTACTTGCGGACGTTCGGTAATGTAAGTATTTGTGATCTATAAATGAGTTTGTAGCAATTCCCTGAAATTTTTTAATACACCCCATATGAAGAGACTTTTGACACTTTGGACATTCTATAAAGTCTTATTGTCCGATGCTATTGTAATGATTGCTTAATAACAGTTCCCTACGGACAATTATTAAAAATTTGCAAATTTCTATTTTCAAAATCATTAACAATTGCAACACCATATTTCCTTAGTAGATTAATTCTTCTTGAAGCAATTCTCGAGTGAATGTATATAAAAGCTGTAGCTCTAGTAATGCTTGCGTTACCTCTAGTAACGCTTGTGTTACCTCTAATAACGCTTGCATTACCTCTAGTAACGCTTGCGTTACCTCTAGTAACGCTTGCTTTACCTCTAGTAACGCTTGCGTTACCTCTAGTAATACTAAACTAAAGAGTAATAGTTACTAGAATCAATGAAAAAGAATTTGACAATAGCAATAAGTTTAAAGTTTTATTATTTCTTTTATTGCAGCTAATCAAAAGATGACCAGAAACAATAAGAGAAAAACATTATGTACATTCTGAAAACTGAAAAGTTAAGGGAAGCCGTAAAAGATGTCCAAACAAATAATTTGAGCATGTTGCTAAACATGGTGAACAGTTTTTAAACATTTAAAATCAATAAGTATAAAGAAATTAAAAATATTAAAATAAACCTTACTCATTGTAATTTGACAAAAAAATAAGTTACTTTAAAAAAATGCAATAGTTATTAAATAAGTTCAACTAAAGTAAATACTGTCCGAAGTTTCCCCGGTCTCCCTTATGATAGCTAATTATAGTTACTTTTCTATGATATATTATATAATAGCCAATCATAGTTATTTTCTATGATATAATATATGATAGCCAATCATAGTTATTTTTCTATGATATATTATATTGCAGCCAATAATATTTATTTTTCTATGATTATATAAAAAATATTATTAGTTATTCGGTGAATAAATTAATAAGTTATAAAGTGGTTTCTTACTACTTTTTTAATTATTGCATTTTTTTGTAATGATTTTTTTGTAATGATTTTAACTAGCACTTATCAAAATTTTT